CACCATAGTGGAGTCAGATGCCAAGCTGGCTGGGACAATTTAGGGAATCACAGATTGAAAGATCTAGAGAGTCCTTGAAGTAGCCAGCTGTGACCTTTCACCTTGCTATTGAGAAAACCAAGAATCAGAAAATAGAGGGATGTGTCAGGGCCAGCTGCAATAAGGACCCGGGGCTCCTGACTACCGCAGCTTGTGAATAAACGGACCCAGGCAGGAGTTGCAATAACAAATCAAATAAAAGCCACTGAGCTGAGTCCACCTGCACTGATGGCAGTGGGGAGCCGGCCAAGGTCTCGGGTCAACAGCCTCGTGGTGGGAAATATACACAATGGTGAAAGTTTGAGCAAGAAGGCATAAAAGCCTAAAGCCTGCTAAGTGTCTGGCCCCAGCCCCAATGCCACTCATGTGCTGTGTCACTTTGGGAGAATGGTTAAGCTCTCAGGCCTCAGTTTCCCAATCCAAAGGAAATCACCCTGTTCTGCTGATATGACCTTCTGAGAGAAACAAGACAGTAGATGTGAAAATATTAGGTAAATCAAGTCATTGCTCAAGGCCATTTGTAATAAAAGTCAACATCTCGGTGAGTCTATTCTGCTACTTAAACAATTTTCAAAGAAAATTCCAATCCATACAAGTCAAAAGCCACTTGCCTTACTAATGTCTGGCTATGTGGTTCCCTCACCTGCCCTTGGTGTGATTCAAAAGGTCTAAGCTCGCAGACCCACAGGGCTGTCTCTCCCTGAGAGCTGAACACACAGTATGAAGAGGCTAAATTTTGTATCAGGAAGTCCTCCATTCAAACCCCAGAACTTCATCTTAGCTGGTTGACTTTCAGTAAGTTACCTAACCTCTCTGAGGCCCCTTCTCCTGAATTGTGGGATGGAGAATGGCCCTGTGTCTACTCAGACAACTGTGATAGGGTTCAGGTAGGGTCTTGTGTATTGATCACCAGCTCAGTGCCTGGTGTGGAGCAAGCTGGGGTGGCCACTGTTGTCATCAACAGGGTCTCCCTCATGAGCCCCCAAGCTCAGTTCTTAAACAAACTCAGAGAAAAAATTCATAGTACAAACCTATAGCAGGAGCAGGCTGGCAAGGAAGTGCCACAGGACCATTGTCACAGAGCAGAGGCTGGGTCACCTGTTCAGCAGCTTCAGTGTCCCTAGCCCAAACCTGGGGTGGAACACACCCTTTCTCCCTCCTCCTCCTCCACATGCTGGCCCAGAATCCAGAGTACTCACTGAGAAGGTGGTCTTGGTGACCTCCACGCTGTTGTGGACACTACCCCCACTGAGGCTGCCAGGAATGTTCCCACCATGCAGCTTCCTCTGGCTACCCACCATGGTCTCCATGGAATGGCTGCGAACACGGATGGCTCTCTGTGAGGGATGGGGAGTGGCAAAGGTCTGAGAGTCAGTACCTGGTCCCTCTAGATGACTCTTTCCTGGGCTCACATGTCCATATGCATGCACACACTAGCATGAGCATGTAAACAGTCACAAAGCCCACACCTCAGTCACTGGTATTTGCAGAGTTCTCTAAATTCTGTCCAGGCAGGGTCTGAGGGCTCAGTGGTGCAAAGTGGGCCAACCTGGTATCCTTCTTTTATGGGAAGGGGGAAGCAAGGCCTGGAGATCAGCAAACTTCGGTGACACTGTCTAGTTTACAACTCAACATCTCTGGGTTATGGGTTCCTTGTCATTAAAATGACTGTCATACATCCCACACAGGATGGAGACTGAACACAAGTGCCAGACTGAACACCGACTCCTTTTTATTTTGACTTTTATTTTTTGGTGTGGCATTGAGGAATGGACCTACGATCTCCCTCACTCTGAGAAAGAGCTCTACCACTGAACGACATCACCGACCACACATCAGTTCTGTGTTCACAAAGCTAAGGGACCCTGCAGGTGTTTGGCTTCTCTGGGACTTATGCGAAATGGAATAGGGTATGTCTACCCAAGGAGTAACAGCAAGAACATGTAAAGCTCTACAGAGAGAGCCCAGTGAATCACAAACGTAGCTTCTCATATTGTTAATATTAAGCATACTGTATTTCCTGTGTGCTCAGCACCACACCAAGTTCTAGAACAGCGGTATTGAGGCCAAAGAGGCATTAGTCCAAAGAGTGCCCCCCCCAAAAAAAACACTCCTAAGAGTAGACTACAATGCAAGACCCAGTGTCTGTGATGATGTATCAATCAGTTGTTCTGAGGCCCAAAGAGCAAAGGCTCCTGGATACCTGCACTATTGGTGGCTCAAGTACAGGTACCAAACTCCAGTTGGCAGAACTCTGGCTGATAGAACCAACATCCATTCCAATGTCTCTTCCTCCTCCTCCTCCTCCTCCTTGGAATGCAAAGTACCCAAGCTCAGTGTAAAGCACTCGCTTAACTCATCCCTTCCTAAAGAAACAGGAGACTGTCTGCTGGTGGCTTTGGGGGAAAAGCACAGGAGCCATTTGGGAGGCAAAACCTGGCAACAAAGTTGAAGAGCCCCGGACCACACAGGGGAAGGAAGAAAGTACATGTGTGTCTTGACCAACTGAGCCTGGACTTCCTGCTACAGTCATTGGTGGATTTTCCTTACCATGGTGTGAGCCCATCACCCTAGCATCAAGAAACAGATATGGACTAAGTTATAGCCCACTCCCTCCTTTCTGGACTCAGGCATGTGCACACCCTATGTGCCCACTAACAGATATATCCAGAGGAAAAGAAAAGCCCCCTTCCTTCCCTTGAGACATCCAGGAAGAGCTCCAAATTGGCACAAGTCTTCAGAACCCCAGCGACAACTTTGAGACCTGTAAATGGCAAAGGGCCTCATTGGGCATGCCATGCCCTCCGGACAAAGACTCAGAAAGGCTACTGGAGCATGTAAAAGACCTCCCCATCCAGACAAGCCCACCAACAATAAGGTGTGGGACTACCAGCCTCAAATTGACATCATGTAGCCTCTATTGTCTGAATCAAAGATGCCCCATGAGGGATGTCACTTCTCCCCTCTCTGGACCAGAGAAAAGTTGCCTAGCAACAGTGTTCCTGGGACATGGTTGCAAGAACCAGCACGTTTGATTCATTCTATCACCCAAGCATCACAGAGTCACATAATCTTTGGAGACTGACATGTTCTTGGATGCGGGGTTGGGGGAGAAGGCTCCTTAAATGACATCAATGTTTCATAAATGCCAGCATCTTTATATGCTTGCTCCCTGTACTGCCAATACCAATGTCACCAACACTGCACACTCTTCATTTGTGTTCAGATCTAGTCCTCATTGTCTCTAGGATCCAAGTATGAATACCAAGTCCTATGCAGTATATCTGGTCTAGGGAACCTTCATATGCAGTCTTATTGAATCCTTAAAAGGCTGAGGTATAGGAAGAACAGATAATCTCTCAAGTAATAAAGAACTGTCACACATCAGTAAGAGATAGAGCTGGGATCCAAGTCTAGTATCCCAGGCCCCAAGATCGAAAATACAAAGCTGGACATGGTAGTGCATGCCTCTAATCCACAGAATTCGGGAGACTTGAGAGGTCAAGGACAGCCTAGGCCACTAAGTAAGACCCTATCTCCAAAAAAATTCAGGGGGGAAGAACATGAGGGGTGTAAAGGAAAAGGAAGAAGGAAAGAACTGGGAGAGGTAGGAGAAGGAGAGAGTGAAGAAAATGGGGATGGAGATGAAAGCCAAGATGGACAATTCACTGATTAACTACAGGAAGTTTGGGAGTCACACTCTCATAAAAATGTCACAGGCTGATGTCAAGGAGGAATGTGTCTTCAGATGCCCATGTGCCACTGTCAGAGTCAACAAAGCGAATCTGAGGAGCCAATGAACAGATGGAATTCCAGAACTGGGCAGGTTGTCAGTCACCTCCTCTCCTGCTCTTGGCAACAGAAAGGGTGGAGTCCTGGTTCTCTCATGGTCCCTGCCAGGAGGAGCTGTCACAGGATGAAATGAGACAGTGTGTATCCAACACCTGGAATGACACCTGCCCACTTGGGTTAGTTCTCCTGCCCCAATCTTAATGTGAAAGACACAAAACAATGCTTGCTTTGAATGAAACTGTCCAGTAACATCTAAAGAATTTCACATTACAGTGCAATGAGCGACTGAATGGAAGTGCTGGCCCACCCAAACTGGGCAGCAGAGTCAGAAATACGGGACAGGGGAGACAAAAGGGGAGATAGAAAGGGGCAGAGGGGAAGGGTGGCGATGGGATGAGAAAGGCAGGGAAGGGGACGTCATAGAAGCCTTTGCACAGGCTTTAGGAGGCCTTGGGACTAGCTCGACTTGCTTTCACTTTGCTTGTCCTCCAGGGACCAGCTACTCATTCTTGCAGTGGGTGGCCTGACCCACGGAAAGTTCTATGTATACACAACTGGTATCTCACCTAAATTTCTAAACCTTGCAGTCTTGGGCTGGCATTTTCTATCATTCCACATGACTGTCCCTTTGCTGTCCTCCTGGCCAATCACTCTGGCTCCACCAGTCTCCCTCAATCCCCACAGCCTCCCAGCCCTCAGCACACTTCACTGCTGCCTCCCATCAAGCTCTCCTGTGAGGCACGAGGACAAAGAAACACACTGCTTTCTCATTTCCCATGTGTGTCCCCTCATCTCAGCCCCAGCAAGCGGAACAAGTCACTTCCCAGCCACCAGCACCATCGCCTCCTTACAAAAATGCCTGGGATTTGTTCTAGTTTAACAAACTCAACATCGGGACAAAAATTAAGGAGATGAGAACCAAGCAGGGCATGCCCATCCAAACCCCAGTAGGGAATAAGGATGAGGCTCTGAGACAAAGACACCAATTTCCTGCCTGCTGAGATGGTTTTGGTCGGGGTCTTCTGTTCCTCCAGCAGGAACAAGCTGGCAGCTCACTCATAGTCTATGGCTCCAAGTCCAAGGCCTGGGCATTCCTCTGCCCTCTCCTGCACCCTCCCCCTTGTGTATGTTCGAGTGTGCCTGTGCGTCTCACTGTACCAAAGGCATACGACCATCCTGGTACCACAACTTCCCCTCCCAGGAAAAAGAAAGGGGTGACAAAGATGTCAAAGGCTGGGGCCTGTTCTGCCCCATGGTCCTCCTTCCACCATCACTTATGTGACTCAGGCTGCCCTTGCCTGTGACTATAGGACACACACACACCCCCAAGACTTTGTCTGCTAGAGATGTCCATGACCTCTCCTGCCACCAAGGGTCAGATGAGATCAATATACCACTACACCAGTTCCTCAAAGGCGGAAAGAAATTAGCCTGCTGTCCCCCCTGTTCTTTGTGATCACAACTCTGTCCCATTGTCTTCTATTCCTGCCTCCACATTATGAGGTCAGTGGACAGTTGGGCCAGTCAAGTGATTCTCAAACCATATATGCTTATCACACGGACAAATCAATAGTCACTTATTCTTTTTACTTCATTACAGACCAACAGTCTAGGGATAAGTACCTTCCAAAAGGAAATGATACACAGCTCCTTTATCAGGAAAAAAAAAACAAAAGCCAAAAAACTTCAAGGTTCCTAAGAGCATGGCCACAGTCACCCCTTGAGCCATGGAAACAGCTTTCATCCACGCCATCGCTGCAAAGAATGAGACTTTTTCATTAGAAGAGTGTAGATTTTTCAGATTGTCATCTACATGAAAATGAAGAGTCCCAAATGTCAGTAGACGGGCAGGTCCTAAGACTCCTCCAAGCAGCTTGGCTTACAAGCAGGTCTAGGTATCCATAAAGCAATGGGTGTGTCTCATGGAGCAACTTCCACTCAAAGCACAAAGAACTGAAGTGAAGCATGAAGAAACAGCCTACGGTCACAGTGGGTCTGCTCCTGGCCTGTGACACTCTAGGGAAGACCAGTCTGAAGGGGACTGGCATTGGGATAACGCTCAGCCCTGAACCTCCTTAGTTCACATCTGCCTGTGAGAGAACCTTCAACCCAGGCATTTTCTTTCAGGCATCACTGCAGACAGCCAAAGTCATTCTGAAGAAATCCCAGAGGTCTAGGATTAATCCCAAAAGAAATAATTCTGACCCCACAGTCCTGTCTAAGGCCCCCATAAGGAGAGAAGAAAAACACTAGAGACAGACTCTAGAACTGGGCCAGGGTCATGCCTGCCCTTGCCCAGGCCTCTCCACATGGGAGACCTGGATCACCACTGAAGGGGTCGACAAGAGAAGCCAAGGTCTCCTTCCAGGACAAAGGCTCCTCACTCTGTGTGCCTGAACCCAACGATCCCTTCTACCGCCACCATCTCACAGCCTCAAAGGCAGGTGTGAACTACAAATGGAAAAAAGGGGTCTGTCCTCAACCACAGAATTAAAAAGAAGTCTCTGGAATACCGGCCAGCAGGCCAGTCATAATAGTCTTGCAGCATGCTCTCTCTTGAAAGCCTCTCTAGGAATACGTCAGACTCCCTGGAGTGAAACATATACCAACTCCTACTACTCCTAACAGAAGCGAAAGACGGGACGAAATGGCCTTGAGCCACCATCCTTTAGATCTGTCGCCTGTATTTAGCTGCTGGGCCACTGCATCCATTGAACCCCATGGGCAGAATGTCCACAGCCTACATACAGTGTTACACAAATATTTGAAACCTGAAGTATAAAAGGAAACCTGTAAAACTCAGAGCAACAAATGCTTCATAAAATGTCTGCAAAACACAGCATCACGCTAGCTCGTCAACCGCAGCTCAGTTCCGATGATTCCACATGAGTTAATTTACTGAGGGAGGTGGAACACTTTGACAGGTGTCCCCCAGAGCCTCAAAAGGCCTCTCTAAGTGGCTGCTCCTCTGCCTCCCCTAGGCCCAAGCCTCTTCCCTATTACCCAGCCTCACATCCACCCTCCTCTTGGCGAGGCTATCTACCCACCGTGGCTCCCTCTTCCTTCTCTGTTCATTTTCTCCTCTACCCCTCATTTTCATTTTTCCCAAAATCAGTCTCACTATGTAGCCCAGCCCTTCCTTGAACTCATCATGCCCCTGCCTCTGCTTCCCTCAAACTGTCCATACAGGCATGCACCTCCACACCCAGCCCCTCTTGCA